CCACTGACAGGTCACGTGACTTGCCACTGGCAGCTGCCACCAACCACTGACAGGTCACGTGACTTGCCACTGGCAGCTGCCACCAACCACTGGCAGGTCACGTGACCTGTCAGTGGCGGCTCCTGCCAGCCAGTTGAAGATTGAACCCCTACTGATAGTTAGAATTCATATAAATTTGAATCTTGATAAAAAAAAAAAGTGAATAGACATTATGCATATACTACATGTTAGACATTAAAACTTAGACATATAAAGCTTTTAAATGGCTAATTATTATTATTATTATTATTATGACGACTTCATAATATGTAGTGATTATATTGTATTTCTAAAAAATTAAAGGGGTCATATGATGCTGCTAAAAAGAACATTATTTTGTGTATTTGGTGTAATGAAATGTGTTTATGCGATTTAAAGTAAAAAAAAAAAAACACATTATTTTCCACATACTGTACATTATTGTTTCTCCTCTATGCCCCGCCTTTCTGAAACGCGTCGATTTTTACAAAGCTCATCGGTCTGAAAAAGTGAGGTGTGCTCTGATTGGCCAGCTATCCAGTGCGTTGTGATTGGCCGAATACCTCAAGCGTGAGACGGAAATGTTACGCCTCTCACATACTGTTGATGCCGTGATGCCGGAGCGACGAGACAAAAACATTCAAACCCATTACAAACGAGGCATTTGTTGCATCCAGTGGGGACATAATTACTGATTATAATGACTTATACTGTCTTTTTACGCGTTGCATTGCATCACGCCGCGTAAACATAAAACTCTGTCTGCATTTGTGATCAGAGATATGACAAACAACAAGCGCTACTCTACACTGCCCAAAACTCGCGTTTGAATCATCAGTGGCAAATCCTTTAAATGAAAACGTACTTACGTGAGTCAGAACTGCCGGCATTTTAGTCTAACGTTACTCTCCCAGTATCAGTAAACAGTCCTCCATAAAATGTGCTGCACACATCTGGATATTTGGGTTAAACTGTTCTGGAACAGTGTTGTAAATACCACTGATTTGTAGTCGTGTCCTCTTTTGGAAGACCAAACAAAGTAGTTTCGCTTTCACAATGAAAAGCCCAGCGGAAGCACCGGCTTAGCGTGAGCTGAGGCCGGGATAGAGTGAGCAGAGGCGGCGGGGTTGAGAACGGCGCAGCCGGCGGATCCGACAAAGGAGCGGCAAGCAAATGTGACGACCCCGGGCTTCGTCCAC